ACTGTACAGTTCCGTTCCGTTCAGTCGAATAATTTGGCTCAGGAACGTATCAGTGCTTATCAAGCGCACGTTTTCTGAACCATATGTGCCTCAGAGAACAGGGAATGTGTTTTTTTGTTTTCAATTTTGTAGGAAATGTGCTGAAAATTACAAAATATTATGATTGTATTAACAAGATTTCGTAAAACAATAGCGTTTTAGAACAGTGTTTTTAAATTTCATTGTTGAACAGAAGAGCATAATATGTTTACTCTGAAAATTTTTAAACAATTTAAAGAAAACAAAATTTGCTGAACTGTATAGTTTTCAAATTTTGAATATTTTCGAATTTCAAGCAAATTATTTAATATATAAATTATATTTCTTATTAGCAAGCCCTTTTTTCGTTCAGTGTCAGTGTATATAAAAACAACAAATAAGAGGATAATTTCAAGATACGGACAAGCATTTGAATTGTGGAAACAAAAAATTTAAATCATAAAATTAAAAAAAATTAAAAAACGTTAAAAAATCATAAAATTAAAGTTGGCATATGAATCGGCCATAAATTTAACAAATTAATGCTTTTCAAAGAAAAAATTACGATTTATTCTACTGTTCAACAAATTTTTCAATAGGGGAATGAGTCGAATTTTGGTTAAGGGATTAGAGAAATTAGAAAAATAATTTCGAAAATGTGAACGTGGTTTAGACCGTTTTTCTTAAAAACTGGATATTTCTAATATTACGCGTTATTTGATTTTAACACTAAAACGTATTATGAAAATCAAATGGTCAAAATGTTAAATTTATAATTTTAATTGCATATTGTATTACAATCTTAGTCTAATAAACAAAAGTACTTAATTGTAAAACTACTTTATTTAATACTTAAGAAAACTGAATTTGAAATTCGATAGTTTTTTACGGAAATTGTTGAATGGATTTGTTCTGCGCTATAATTTCTTATGTTCATATACTATTCAGAAATGTAAATCTTTAGATTTCCAAATCATTGTGCATGAAAACGGACACGTAGGATTCTTAATTCGTTTTGCATCCTTACAGATAAAGATTTTCAATATGAATGTAGCTGCTTTCAACTAAGAATTTATTTTCAGTTTATTATTTTATAAAATTAGATTTTCATCAAAGTTGTAAATGTTTGTACATATATTTTATTATAAGTATATAGTAATGGTAACTCTATCGTTAATAGTTTAATGCTTCGCATAGCGTTACCTTATATAAATCTCATAGATCATAAATTTTATTGAAATTTACAATGATAAATGAATAATAATGTTAAATAAATTCTATACTTTTCGTCGCTAATATTTTTAGCATTTCTTATTATCTTATATGTAGTCTTTGAATTTTTTAATTGTTTTAAAATGTGATAAGCTTCTGTATGCCCTTACAATGTCATAACATTAAACTGTAAGGAGTGTAAGAAATAAATATATATAGAACACATATGTAAATATATAACATATGCATATAATCCAAAGTACTAAAACAAATATTTAAATATACTTTTACAAAAGTTCAAGTGTATAGAAAAGAAAATAACTTTCCCTTTACATACAACTTCCACTTCCTTTTTATATTCCTGCAATAATATATATAATATTGTATTAAATTCAATATATATATTATATGTAAGAGAAAAGAATAATACAAGTTGAACCTTCAATTCAACTATAAATAATATATAAACTGAACAAACAACAAGAGTAACAACAATAATAATAATGATAAATAAGTTTAAACGATTCATATTATTATATATATACAAAATGATTTTGGCGGGATTCATATTAAGCGATTACAAAAGTTTGTTTTTAGTCAAAGTTTAATAAATAAAAAAGAATGTATTTTGTATATCAAATTTAAGTATATTTATTATATAATATTACTTTTAATATATATATAAGCCTATATTTCCACTTTCATCTAATATATATAATATTTCAATACATATATGTACATGGTTAAATATTATATAAATAAAGAGAATATTAAAGTGCATTGAATTTTAAATTTCGTTTTTGCTATATAACATCGCGCTCATCATACGCACTTATTTTTGTATCTTTCTTACAAATATGAAAAAAAAAAATCAAAAAAAGGATATGTGAATATAATATAAAAATAAATAAGGAAAAAATATAGAATATGTACATATATATATATATATATATATATAAAAGAGAAAAAGGAAAAATTATTATTATTAATATGGAATATATCATAAATTAAATAAGGAAAGAATAAGAAATTTAAGAAAAAGAGGGAAAAAAAAAGAAACAGAACCCTAAATATGGTATATATACAAAAAGAGAGAAAATAAGAATGTAATATAAGATTATAATAATTCAGAATGAATGTAACAAAGAAATTTATTTATATATATTCATATATATATATATATACATAATGAATACATGATATATATTATATACTTACGTATTATTTATGTTAAGAACGTTAAACTTCTTAACTATTGTATTTATTGTGGTACCAAAAATCATTCTGATATCATCTTCTTTTTTTTTTTTTTGATAATCTTTATTCAAAAAAATCATCTTTGTGCTAAAAACCTTTATTCGGAAGAAATTAAAATGAATTATATGTCATATTATACTGTTATACAAACTTATACAAGTTAACAAGTTATAATATTCTTTATATTAACTGATTTATTAATATCCGTGACTATAAAAGTTAATGTACTCTTCATAAACTATATACAATTATTGTGTAGGTGTTATATTATAAAAATTTAAATCCTAATTCAAACCAATCATTATTGAAATATAACATTGCATACTTATAACAAATAAGGTATATTTATATTCCATGCAATTTTATAACACAATTCAATATTATACAATATAATCTCTATGTTTTTCAACTTTTCCTCTAATTAAATTTAATTTTTTAATGAATTTTTTTAAGTAAATTATAGAAAATTATAAATAAAATTTTTATTTTAAACAACCCCAATTAAAATATTTTTAATTTTAAATTTTAAATTAGTCTTTGAATGCTAAATTTTTGGAATTAAAATAAGGCATATGAAGTGAGGTTGGAATTATCAATTTAAAATTAATAAAAATTTACCACCATTCATGCATTATTTATTTTGATATTAATTTATAGTTTTGCAATATTATTAATGCAATTATTAATTTTTCTACTTGCCAGTAAAAAATATCTAACTCTAATTTGGTAATTCTTCTTAATATTATTAAAATTTTGAATGCTGTACAATAACATCGATTGGGTTAAGTTTTGATTATTAAGTTTTGATTGGGTTAAGTATTCCTTTTGAATTTGATGTTATATGTAAAAGTACCATAGTAAATTACCGTTCTGTTAGTAGAGCAAAAAATAATTATCTCTCGTGTAACGATTTTCAGTCCTTTGTTCCGTCGGTAGCTCTAAATTTAATTTAAACGACTTCAGTAAATATTAAAAAATATTTTTTAAAAGCGCATTTGAAAACCATATTTAATGGCTAATGCTATAAAATATGACCATTTTTCATAAGATCTACAAAGCACAGTACTGAAATTTTCGTAGACAAATAGTAACAGTAATAGAGTGAGTATTATTATAAGAAAAAGCTCCAAATTTTATTTTATAACATATTCAAATATAATTTTTTCAAATTTCGAATCCGAAATAAATAAGAGATTCTATACGAATTTTAATTGATTCCTTTCTCCATAATATCTTTTTCGGTTTAATGTTAATAATTAATTAATGTAACAACAATAACCGTATACATTTCGTTTTTTAAATTATAAACGTTTTTAATTTTTCCAGGAATTTATATGAGAAAATACAAAGAGTGGGTAAAAAAATTCAGTTATTATTTTGTCAACTCTATAATGAAAAATTGTAGTAATATTTTCATGTTAACGAAAAGGTGAAAAAAATGCAAAAAGAAAGATCAATATAAATATTTAAAACCTGTTTAATAAAAAAAATTTAATCTGCTATAAAGAAATTTTTACAAAAGGACGATATAAAGTCAAAAAGAAAAAAAAAAAAAAATAAATTAAACAAAAACTTCAAAAAACGTTAAAAATTAATTTTTAATCCTTTCTTTATAAAAATTAAGAAAATATCATAAAATTTATGAATTACTAAGAGTATATTTCACAATAACTCGTAATAGGGAGATAAATTATAATATACGAGTATGTATAATTTTAAATTATTCTTACATAATAATTAAAATAAACAATTTATAAATGATAATATCAATTATATTATAGTTAAGCGATGGGCATAAAATTGCAATTATTTGCAATGAATATTTAAAATATAATTAAGCTATTCGATATAAGGAAGCTAAAAATTTCATGTTAAGAAAAAATATGCCATAGCATACAACCAGATGGCTATAATATTTAAGTAGTTATGTTATTATTTCAAAATGTTCGAGTGACATACAATATAACATATTAAGCTATAACAGACAATATTGAAATATCAAAAACAATTGACTTCATGATAAATATTGTGTCTAATAACTTTATTAAAATATAACAAATTTTTTTATAATTTCTTACTTTTATTTAATAAAATATAATAATTATTGCTTAATTGCAGCTAGGTACATAAAATATAAAATATTTCAATAATTTTCAATTATATATATAGGTATATACAACAATTCATTTATTGATAGATTTTAAAAATATTTTATAAAAAATTATAATTGAAATATGCATGTAATTCTAAAAAGTTAAATTTTAGAAATAATAAAAAAAAAATTAAAATAATAATTAATTTCTATAATATTTTAAAATAATAAAATAAATTTTATTACAGTGTTTTTATTCTAAATTTCAATTAAAATATTATTCATAAATTTGTGTGTATTTGAAAGCGCCACAATTCAATATTAAATGACAATAATATTATTAAATAATAATTTGAATTCAAATAAAAAATCATAAACTTTAAAAATTTTCATACATCAGAAAAGTAAATAAATAAACAAACAAAAAAATGCAACAATTCATGTATTTTAAAAAACAAAATTCAAATTTATTTTATTATAAAATAAAATAATAAAATAACATTAAAATTATTATTCAAAAACTGTTACTGTTATTGTTAACAAACACAAAGAAACTAAACATAAATCATAATTGTTAAATATTCTATATGGCGCATATTGTAAAGGACCTGCATGCAAATAGCCATTATTAACGTTATTATTATAAGTTATGTGTTAAATATACCTACATTGAATTATAACGGTGTATTGAATTATTGGGTGACAAAGTTCAAATTTAGTATTTTTTAATATTTCATGTATAGTTTGTTTTAATTTTTGTTTTCATTTTTGTTTTGACTACCAAAAATTATTTATTGTTAAATTGTTTCACTACACACATATACACGTTATAATAGTATTTATTTAATATTTTGTATATTTGATTGTTTTCCTTTGTTTTCTCTTTGATTTTCTGATTCAATGTAGCATTTTCATTTTATTACTTTTTTTTTTTTTATTTTTATCTTTTATTAATTTGTATTTCTTTTTCGTTCTTTTTAAGTAAGCAAAAGTCAAAAATAAAAAAAAAGAGAATTTTTATGACATATAAAATATACAAAATAATAAAATAAAAGAGAAACATATAATAAGAATAACAAATAAAAAAAAAAAGAGAGAGAAAAACAAAAAAAATTAAACAAAGTACGAAAATATTCCGAAAATTTTTTCTGCCATTTATGATTTATAGATACAGTGGGAGAATAAATTGTCCATTATGGATTTGATAACCGCAAAAACAATTACTCGGATATTTTGGATTGCAATAAATCTGTCATGTAAGTATAATTGTTAACTATTTTCTTATAACATTCTTTTATTATTGATTTTTGGTTTTTCACAGCTATTCCATTTTGGTTTGTTCTTTAATATTTTTATTTTTTTTTTGTTTGTACAATATTATGTATTTATTATACCTATATGTATGCTTGTATTATGTAAATTTTTCATTTTTGTTATTTTAAGATAATATTTTTAATATATTTGATTATTATATTGTAACATTCTACATACATAGGTGAAGTTAATATTGAAATATTAAAGTCTTAATTTATAAGCTTACCAATTGAAAAAAAAATTGTATATGTATAAATATACCAAAAACTGCAACTTTGGATAAGTACTATCTTACATTTTTCCCTTGAACAAGTTAAATATTAAGAATAAAAATATGTACTTGTTTTTGAAAAAAACAAAACTAGTAGATTGTGTTAATTTCTTTTATTAAAATACTGAAATACTTCAAATCATTGCATATATTTAGGATGAGAGAAAAGATTTAAAAAAAGATTAACATAGAGGAGAATTTGAGATTAAAGTAGGAGAAATTATTAGAATTAAGAGATTAAAGTAGGAGAATTTTTTATAATTTTGATGGTATAGAATTTACCGTTAAATTTACGCATTTACAGAAATTTGAAAAATCTTAGTTTCGGAAATATAATGTGAATATTATACGGATTTCGAAACACGATAACTTTGGTCCGCAAGTGAGGGGCGTGAGGGTGGAAAAAAATTTTCTTTTAATGAAATAATAAATTTAATATTATGTAGAAACCGATAAAATTTCAGACTTCTACAACTAAACTTCTTGACTTCTACAACTAATTTCAGACTTCTACAACTAAACTGAAAATTTGAAAAAAATTTTTAAATTAATCGGAATTTTACAAATCTTTATGGTTTCGGTACAATAAATAGTCAGAAATTATTCTATGATTTAATGGAACTATGGAAATATAATAGAGAGGGCGAATGGGTTAAAATGTTCTTCTGTTAAATTTAAAGAAGCTTATTTTCGGTTTTTAAAAAAATTAATAAACGTGTCCTTTTCAATATAAAAAGTATAATACGAGTAATTTTCTCTGTGTCCTATGACAATTAATTTGAATATGATTTTTAAATTTTTCGTTAATTCGAACACCCCAAAAGTTATCTTTATTTCAATTATTTTCGTCTTTTTCTATATATACACACATATAATTGTACTGATATATGTTAAAGTTTAATTTAACATTGTTTTATTGAAAAATTTTTCAATTCTTGTACACAATCTACATAATATGTAATATCTTTGATATTCGTCCAAGAGTTTTTCGATAACAAGACAACAGATTAAGCAAGCAAAAAAAAAAACAGAGAATGTATGTACAATTATTTTTACATAAATTTAATATATAACTATACCGACAAAAATATTATATTGTAAATTATATATGGACTTGTAATGTAAATTATAAGTACAAAATAATAGTAAGTAACATGTAAAATTGTAAAATCAAATACATATTTTGTATATTATCATATATATACATATGTATGTTTACATAAAATAATATCCTGTTTATAAAAAAGAAAAGGATGAAATGTTCTAGAAATGACTTTGCTTAACGTATATGCATGAATAAACATTCTGAAATTCTTGTACAATCTACAGTATGCATGTTATATTGTTTTAAAATATAATATAGTGCATACACATAATATGTTCATACATTTATATGTATACATTATACATATATGTGGGTCAGAAGTGAAAGTAATAAATTTTATTTTGATGTTTGTTGTGTTCATGGCCAATAAAAATGTTGGTTTTCTTTTTATTTTTTTAATTTGTTTTTATTTTGTTATTTAATTTTATTGGAATGCTTTTATTATTTGAGCAATTATAGATTGAAATTTTCATTTAATTGAATTTTATATTTATACATATACACAATTTAAAGATACAATATATATACATATGTACACCTGTTTGCTATGTTTATAGTGTTTGTGTAGAAATTCATATATGAAATATGAAAGTACATATTGTATAAGGAAAACTATAATTAAAAATTTAATTATAAAAGGAAAGTTTTTTTTTTCAAAATTTTTTTACTTTTATTTTGCATTTGAAAAGTTTATCTTAAGATAATTTTAATTAAAAAAAATTTTTATACAACTTATGATTGTAATTAATTATTACTTACTTTTCCGCTCTAAATAGTTTTTAATAGATAAAAAAGTATAGTTGAATTTTCCATAGGAATAATTAAAATATTTTTAATATTTTTTGCAAAAACTCATAAATTTTTAATACTTTTGCAAAGATTATAATATGCAATATCTGATCAGGGTAATTTCATAAATTATTAAATAAAATCTAGATAATAATTAAGACTTTTTTATTCAAATACGAAACTGGCAGATGTTGATTATTATAATACTATTTGCCTAGTTTAGCGAAATTGTTACAGAAGAGTATGAAAATGCCTTTTGAACATTCCTTTTCAATTTTATGTAAACTAGCAAGCTTTTAGCTAACATACCTAGGAAAGTGTAAATTTGGCCCTTAGTAGAATTTTGCTTTCTGAGAAGGCAGACCCCACAACAGAAGAGAGACACCATTTTAAACTGCTATTGTAAATTTTTCTAAATTATTCAAGAAAAAATATCGATATAGAATAAAACAGATCATTTAACATGACGACTCATATATACCAAATTGAAGCTCAGTTGTTTGCAAAGGTTGTTAACTGTGAAAAATTGGCGAAAGCTGAAATGATACGTCACCTATAAAATTAATGTTTTTAAAAAATCAAAAATCAAAATGTGACTCCGAAATTTGAACAGATTGTTTGAACAGAGTGTAGATATTCATGAGAAGATCCCTATTCTGTGGTTTCCAAAACACATTTGAAAAAAGCAACGAACTTACGCAGGGATGGAGTTATACTTAAAATTTGAAAAAGTAAAAAAATTAAAAAAATCAATCACAATTAACTTTAAACCCGTGCAACTTTGAACTTGTTGAGCTGTGAATATCGCCTCCATACAAAAGTTTTTTCTACTTATGAAGCCCTATATAATAGTATATAGCAGTGCGAAAAATATTTTCACTACAAATTGCAAAACCAATGATGTCCTTTTTCGAAAAATAATTTTGTTTTAAACATTATTATTACAAAAATCTATCAGAAGTTGTGAAAGTGAAAGATATTTTTAAAATTAAAGGCAAACAAAAACTATTGATTTGTTTTCTTTTAAAACTATATTAGAGTAGTGTGTAATTGTGTGCTATATACATATATAGTGCACGCATTTTGAAATATGAAACCTCAACTTTTTAAATCTAATTTTTTTTTCTTAAATTTTCTCCTTTTCTTTAACTTATATTTAAGTAATTTATTTGCTATAATAATATTTGCTTTCCAATTTACTAATTCTGATATATTTATTATTAGTTTAGTTAAAAGTTTTTTGTTTTTGAGATTTTTATTTCTTAAAATATGAAATTTATTTAATAAACATTCTAAAAACATATTTTTTATATAAAATTTTCAAGGACTTTTAATATACGTTCATACTTATAGTATACTAGTTCATATTATCTACATACAGAACATGAAATTCTCAATTAATATCCTTAAAATGAACTTTACTAAATCAAATAAGTTTTTTAAAAGATGATATTTTTATACGTATATGTATGTATTATGCTATACTTATGCTGTATTATGCTACTGTTATACATTATTGGAATAAGTTAATTACTATGTGTTTAATATTGATACTCATTAGAATGTTAATTTCATTAAATTTTAACAATTGTCATACATGATGAGCAAATGTACAAATAAAAGCTATTGCATGATTTAGAATATTTTTATTTCGCGATTAAAATTTCGGATAAGCTTACGAGTATTATAATTTTCTCGAAATATTCAATTTTATTTGCTGCAAATTACTTCCATAGTATTTCATATACAGTATTTTAAGTGCCAAAAATTACACCTTTTGAAGAAAGGTGTAAGATATAAGAAGTTTTGTTAACCCTTTCTTGACTGGCTCTACTCTCAAATATCAACAACTTTAAATCATTTAAAAATCACAATTATACATTAAATTTCAGTTTTAAGCTGTTGATGCTTTAAACTATTTCATTATATCGCATATTTTATCACGTTTTCTTGTGTCATTCAATTTTGAAAGTCGTATTGTGAGTTTAAGTGTAACCGGCCAGTGTTGTTTAACGAGAAAAACAACTCAAATTAATTTTGTTAATTCTGTTTTTACTTTTTTTAAGAAATAATAAAAAAAAATTGGTTTACAAATAAGGAATTACTTCACATTTTTTCAGTTATACTTTTACTTACCTTTCACTATATTCGTAGGAAACTCATGATACTTATGCCTAAACTCAGAACCAACAAACGAATTCCAAAAAATTTAGTTGTTCCAGGGGTACATTTGTCAAAAAAACAAAAAAAAAAAACCAATTATTCGACAGATTTCGTCTATTCCTACTCCTCGGCAACAAAGGGTTAACAAATAGAGTTCAAATACAAAATTTAAACAAAAATTTTTGATTATTTTCTATATTTGAATACATTTGAAGTTTGCAGATTTAAAATTAACTTATAGTAAAATTATTGAAATATAAGGAATTAATTAAATCGTTGTAATCGCAAAAATATGTTCATTAGTATATTTTTCATGGAAATCTCAAGCTCATTTCGAGATACAAGAGTGAGCAGGAGTACATTCGTTATATAGTTCCCGCATACCTTGTGTATGAATAGCTGTTAAATGAATTTATTATTAATTTTGTTCTTAGTTTGTTATTATTGTTGTTTATTGTTGTTTCATGCTTAATTTGATCTGTTAATGTTCTATTTTATACATTTAAAGAAAAGTGACCTAGAAAGCGGTAAGAAAAAGCGATTTGAGTCTTATTTGAGAATAAAATTTTTAAAATTTTCTATCTTGGCTTGTTCAATTGATTACATCATATATA